TATATATATATATATATATATATATATATATATATATATATATATATATATATATATATATATATATATATATATATCTTTCATAGACTTTTTTTGATATTTTAACACACACACACGCGCGCGCACACACTCTCTCTGTGAGTGGCTCGAGCAGCAGTTATTTGCGCTCGATGTTGACATCATAAATACACACACACTACTGTGTGATATTTTCAGCACTGAACATCTGTGTGTGTGTGTGTGTGTGTGTGTGTGTGTGTGTGTGTGTGTGTGTGTGTGTGTGTGTGTGTGTGTGTGTGTGTGTTCTGTGACACATTCCGACCATGATAAACACACTGTTCAGTCCCTCCAGGATTTATATACAGTTGAAGTCAGAATTATTCGCCCCCTTTAATTTTTCTTTTTTAATTATTTCCCAAATGATGTTGAACAGATTCAGGAAATGTTCACAGTATGTCTGAAAACATTTTTTTTCTTTCTGGAGAAAGTCTTATTTGATTTACTTCGGCTAGAATAAAAGCAGTTTTTAATTTTTTTTATTAAATATTATTGTCATAAGGTCAATATTATTAGTCCCTTTAAGCTATATATTTTTTTCGCGATAGTCTACAGAACAAACCATCATTATACAATAACCTGCCTAATTACCCAAGTAAAGCCTTTACATGTCACTTTAAGCTGTATAGAAGTGTCTTGAAGAACATCTAGTCTAATATTATTTAAGCACAATCGCCTCACAGTAAGAAGGTCGCTGGTTCGAGTCCTGGCTGGGTCAGTTGGTGTTTCTGTGTGGAGTTTGCATGTTCTCCCCGTGTTGGCGTGGGTTTCCTCCGGGTGCTCCGGTTTCCCCCACAGTCCAAACACATGCGCTATAGGGGAATTGGGTAGGCTAAATTGTCTGTAGTGTATGAGTGTGTATGGATGTTTCCCGGTGATGGGTTGCAGCTGGAAGGCCATCCGCTGCGTAAAACATATACTTGCTGGGTGTAAGTTGGCGGTTCATTCCCCTGTGGCGACCCCAGAACAGTAAAGGGACTAAGCCAAAAAGAAAATGAATTATTTTGTTTTACTTAATTTTTATTTTTATTTGATCTTGATTTAATTATTTTTTATTTTGTTTAAAATAATTTTATTCTATTTTTCCATTATATAATATAATATATATATATATATATAACATTTTATTTTACTTAATTTTTATTTCGTTTTTTTTATATTTTCACTATGAATTGTGACCTAAACTAAAGTGTTACAAAATGTTTGAGTAAAATGTGCATTTTGTTTATTTATATTTTGTTTTATAAATTTGTTCTTATTTTATTTAATAATTAGTTTAACATTAATTTTTAATGTATTTAAATTTATTAAGCATATATTTGTGATTTTTAATTTTATTGGCCTTTCATGTCATTTACATTTATGCTGTAATTTACATTTTATTAAATTTGATTGAATACATTTTTGATTAATTAATTACATTTTTTATTTAATTTATAATTTATTTGATATATATTTAGATTTTTGAACTTCATTAAACTTTAATTTATTTATTAAGTTTTATTAAAATTTAAGTTTTCTTTTATTTAAAATTTATTTTTATAAAATGTTTATTTTCCATCTATTTTTTATTTATTTAAATTGTATTATTTATTGTCATTTTTCCCATTGTTTTTATTTTGTTTTATTTAAAAAGATTTTGTTTTAGATTTTTTTATTTATGAAATAAAATTAATATTTTATTTTCATTCATTCATTTTCTTTTCAGCTTAGACCCTTTATTTATCAGGGGTTGCCACAGTGGAATGAACCACCAACTATTCCAGTATATGTTTACACTGTGGATGCCCTTCCAGCTGCAACACCCATGGAAACACCCATACACATAATTATGGGAAACACCCATACACATTCATTCACACACACACACACACACACATGTAACACACACACACACACACACACACACACTGTGAGGAAACCGGAGCACCCGGAGGAAACCCACGCCAACACAGGGAGAACATGCAAACTCCACACAGAAACACCAACTGACCCAGCCGGGACTCAAACCAGCGACCTTCTTGCTGTGAGGCCACAGTGCGACACCACTGCGCCGCCAATATTTTGTTGAGTTATTTTGAATGTAAATATTAATATAGCATATTTCACCTGTCTCTGTATGCATATGTGTGTCCAGGGGGCCGGTGTCTGGGCGTCCTGCGGCGGATGGAGATCATCGGCCGTTTCCGCTATTATTTCCAGCACCCGTGGAGTCGCCTGCTGGTCTCGTATTTGGTCACGTTCTTCAACTTCCTGATCTTCGCGGAGGATCCGGTTTCTCACAGCCAGAAGGAGGCGCACATGAGCGTGGTGGGGAACTGCTTCAGCTTCATCATCAGCAAATACCCTGCTGGATTCTGGAGCGTCCTGAAGGTGCTGCTGTGGGTGCTGGCCATCATCTGCGGACTCATCGCAGGGAAATTCATCTTCCACAGGCGACTCTTCGGTACGTTGAGTTCACGCTCACTTTCACTGATGATGTTAGAGAAGATCTTGCATTAATATACTATCGTCTCAGTACCTTTTTTCATTAGGGGTCACCACAGCGCAATAAATAACTCTTCCAGCTGCAACCCAGTACTGGGAAACACCCATACACACTCATTCACACACACACACTCATACACTACGTAGTTGATCAGTTCCCCTATAGCGCATGTGTTTGGACTGTGGAAGAAACAGGAGCACCCGGAGGAAACCAACAACAACACGTGGAGAACATGCAAACTCCACACAGAAACACCAACTGACCCAGCCGAGACTCGAACCATCTTGCTGTGAGGCAATGTTGCTAACCACTGCGCCAAAAGAGAATATTAGAAACTTGTCATCTTCCACAGACGACTGTTCGATACGACGCTCACTGATAATGTTAGAGTTCTCTCTGACTTTATTTAATTAATTCATGAATTAATTTTTTATTATTTTATTAGATTTTAGTTTATTTTTATTTGATTTTACTTAATTTTTTATTTGATTCTTTTCCTAATTTTGAATTGATTTTACATAATTTTATTCTATTTTTGTTTTATTTTATTTTTTTATTATTTTAATTGTAATAAATTTGTGTAAATTTTTTGTATTCTTTAATTTTAGTAATTTTTGTTTGATTTAATTTATTTTGTTATTTTTGTTTATTTCGCGTTTTATTTTATTTTACTTTATTATTTATTTTTGTATTATTTGATTTTACTTCCTTTTTTATTTATTATTTTATTTATGTTTTATTTTTGTTTTACTTCATTTATATTTGATTTTGATTTATTTGATTATCTTTGTTTTGTTTTACTTCATTTATATTTGATTTTGATTTATTTGATTATCTTTGTTTTGTTTTACTTCATTTATATTTGATTTTGATTTATTTGATTATCTTTGTTTTGTTTTACTTCATTTTACTTTTTTATTTGATTTTTATTTTAATTTATTTTATTTTATTTGACTTCATT